GGGCAACTTTGAGGAATCTTCTTGTCCCAGACACGCTGCAGGTATGGAGTGTTGCTGCAGCTCTGGACGTCGGGAAGGATCGTCGGGATTTTCTCGAACCTTGTTTTTTTTGTGCGCGGAACGTCTCGCGTCTCGCGTATCGATGGTCCGTGGGCGTAATCATGCAGAAAGCCAGGTCAGAACGCATGGAAACCCATATGTCAACGGAAAAACTTGGGGGGTCGAGAACAACAACGACCCAGGAACCTAGGTTCAGAACCCAAGTTTATTCAGAAAGGAACCCAGGTTCGAACCCAGGTTTAACCCAGATTCGAACCCAGATTTAACCCAGGCTTTAACTAGGTTTGAACCCAGGTTGAAACCTGAGTGGCGCTGAGGTCATGTTTGAGCGTAGCAAAAAGGTGAAATTGATGTCCTCTGTTACACTTACACTGGCAGCTTTGAAGAAGATGACTGCAGAAGCGGACAACTGTCCAAGGAAAGGGGAATGCCAGAGCAAGAACAGCTGGCCTTCATGCGCCGACTCATGGAACCTTTGCTGCAGGGAGATGAGCCTGGGCTGAGAGACTTCGCTCCATGCCGTTTTCTCGAAGGCTTGGAATGCTGCCTGGACCAACTGGCTGATTGCAGCCGCCGAGGACTTCGGGTCCACGTGGCGGGCACGCCGTGCGTGGACTGGAGCCGGCGGAGAAAGACACTAGGTGTTCAGGGGCGCAGAGCCATTGTGCGCGTTATTTGGCTCGCGCGTGTTATTCGTGCTGCTGAGTTTGAAGATGATCCCCTGGATATTATTCTTCACGAGTGCACCCCAGATTATCCAGATCACATGTTGATGGATGCGTTGCACCATTTCTCCTCCCGCAAGTGGATGTTGGAAGTGTTCCGCGTGTGTCCATGAGTCCATGAGTTTGTTGACCTGTTCTTTCAAACATGCCAGCTGAGGGGAAGTATCTGGTTTCAATCTGGCCCGCAAATTTCTCCCACGGACGGACTCCAAGACAAAGCGTCAGTGCCTGCAGTTGTGCCATGACCAGTGGATGGATGCGCTGCACAGTGATCCGCTGAAGATTGACAAGGACATAGCTGACCTTTCCAAGGTCTTACCCATGATGCTCCAGCTGTGCATGACAACCCCATTTCGGAGACTGCAGCAGGGATGCTGGCTGGCAACACGATGGCATTGCCCTGCGTCGGAACTATCATGTGCAAGGCGTGTGGTGAAGAATGAGGATGAGATCGCTGCAGCTGGAATCCAGTTCAGAAGTTCCGAAGCATGCTGAGGGCTGCCAGAACGGGTGTATACAGGTAGAGCCCCGCAACAATCCCCATAATTTCCGTCTGGAAGGGTTTAGCTCTTGGCTCGGCTGTGTATGAAGAGGCGTACTTGGCAGCGCGTGCAAAAAAATCTCCGGACGATCAGCTGATGCGTTGCGTGCTTATGGGTTTTCAGTTGTAGTATAGGGTATAGGGGTCTAGGGTTGACGGGTTTTAAGGTTTAGGATTCAGATCTTGGGTCGAGGACCATTAGCCCGAAGCCATTCCTCCCACAACAGTTGTTTGAGATTTCATGCAAGTTTTGCCGATGACCTACATACATGAACAGTCATGAGCAGCAAGCGCAACTTTGAGGTGGCAATGCTCAGGTCATGCAGGTTCACAGTTTCAGGTCAGGGCGAAACCGAAAGTGCATGCAACTGGGATTTTAGGATGTTTCGGGACTTGCAAACCCTGAACCGCGTGATCCCAGATTCTTGAACAAGCTGTCTAAATCAATTTTCATGTCATGTCACGTGCAGTGCCAGGCTCAAGTTTACCGTCAACATTTTAAATGTTTGCCGCTTCAGTTTTGAGTTTCTGTTTTGAGTTTCAGCTTTGAGTTTTGAATGTTTCATGGGAGATTTTACGAAAATATGTGCATGTATTTTGATTGAACAGCTACCGCTATGCCGCCCTGGCCTCATGGACATATAAGGCATTTTCATCAACCAATGTGACTTGTTTTCATGTCGGAGGGTTGGATGCATTGGTCACTGCCCTTGAGAATTGGGAATGTTTCAGGTAGCAGCTGAGATTGTGGCCCGATATTTCATTCATTGGTTGGGGACGTTTTGGTTCCTGATTGTTGCCATTGTGTGGGCAGGTTTTCTCAAGTGCGTGGAATTAGATTCTTCGGTTCTGATGAATGGTTATGAGCCAGTTCCCGCGGCAACCATAACCAGATGTTGGTTGCAATTACCTACCGCCGCGATGCAATCAACGTGAGGCGAAGCCTCATCTCCAGCAAGTTTCGCCATTCCAACCATCAGATGCCTGCTTGGAGCTCCCTCGCCGCCCCGTTGTCGCTGCTGTACAGCGCCACACACACGTTGGTCGACCGCTATGCGTGCGAAAGCCAGGAAGGACAACGTCTCAGCCGCGTGAATGGCCACATCCAGCCGCAGCCTTAGCCTGCGTGCCCGTCACCAGCCCGTTTGTCCGATCGATCGCCCCAATGACCTTGCAAGTCGCGTCGGGGGACACAAAGACCGTGCCCGCAACCCACTCCTAGCCCTGCTGCCCACAACTGACCCCTTCTGCCTGCGCCCTGCCAAGATGCCGCCCTGCGAATTGGTCGTCTGCCTTTGCCTGTTTTGCGGGTGGGCCTGTTGCTGCTGTCAGTCTCGTCCGGTTATGCGTCTGCTGCCCTGTCTGCTCGGAAAGTGCGGTCGGGTATGTGTGGACCTTCCTTGGTGATTTTGATCTTGTTAAGGACGACTGACCTGTCTGTGCCTTCAGGCGCGCTGGTGCACATTCTGCGCCAGCCTTGCCTTTAAAGCCCTGCTGTGGTGCCCATTGATGAGTCATGGACGCTGTGTGTTTCTGAGAATTCTCTGCTGGCCCTTCAGGATTCTAATGGACTCTACAATGCCTGATGCCCGGCGCTCCGGGTGGTTTCGATAAGCTTGCGTCTCCGGCTGCACCCCCCCCGCCTCCTGAGGCGTCTTCTGTGGCTTTGGCTGCTCAGCCTCTGTCTCTGGCCAGGAAGCTGCAATGGTTGAGGCAGTGAGTTCTCATCGCCGTCTTCCGGCGCTTCTTTAGCTGGTCTTTTCTGCCGCTGACCTTGGTGGACTGGTTTTCTTTTTTCCGTCTGCTATCCCACAGCGGTTTATTGTTTGCTGGGAGCTCCTGGCGCAGAGTGCCCTGGTCTTGTGTGTGCATGTGCTCCTTTTTGGCCCACCCATCCGCCTGTGCATGTTCACTTGTCGTGCGCCAACGCTGTTGCAGCATCTGCCTCCTGGAAGGGCCTGCCAAAGGGCTCTGCCACCCTCTGCACTGCTTCCTACACTTTCAGGAGGATCCTCGTGTGTCTGCCCGTGCTAATCAAATTCTGGGTATCCTCAATGACCTGGCCGCCAAGCTCAGCCGCTCCTCGGACCCGGTCTCGTTGAGCTTTCAATCTGACCATCTTTGCCGCATGTGGTGCACTGTCCGCAGTGGCGTTTTGGCTGCATCCTTTACTTGCAGGTCGATGCATTGCACCGGTTGAATTCGATTTTGGCCGTGGATGCAGCCTCTCTGCCTATAGATTTCCTGCAGGTTCTACCTGCCTCTGACTTACCTGTCACTGGCCTTTCTGCTGCCGCTGGACATTTCGCTTAGGGCTTAGGGCGAAAAACATAGGGCCGCGTTTCGCACCGTCTGCTGTTTTCTGTCTGGCACGCTAACTGGCTGACGTAACGGACCAGTCGGTCTGTCATACGATTTTGTACATGTGTTTGTATGTTTGACCGATTGTCGCAGTGGCATAGGCTGTGGTCTGCAAGAACCCGATTCGTTCCTGCAGCCATCAGCCTCAAGCATGGTTCAGGAGTTAATGTGTGTTGACTTCCTGCCTGCCATCCCTTGTCTCCGCCTTTGCGCTTGCCGTTTCCTTTCTGGTACCGAGAACCTGGACTGCCTTGGAATTTCGTGGAACCAAAGTGCTCCTGCTATGCTCGGTGCTGGCTGCATCGGCCGTGGATCAGCCTCCCTGCCTGCTACCTGTTCCTGTTTGGATCAAACCTGCCTGTGACTTACCTGTCGTTAGTTTTCTGCCGCCACTGGACATTTCGTGTAGGGAGAAAAAAGAGCCGCGTTCTGCACCACTGCTGTTTTTCTGTTTGTAACAATCGCCCTGATGTAATGGACCGGTCGGTCGCTCAAACGTTGCGCAAATGTATTGTTATGGTGAGTATGTCTGTTTTGTTGTCGTGGTTGCAACGCCCCTTCATTTTTTGGTGCACCCCCGGCAAAAGAAAGGGTTTCTGCTTCCAACACGCTTTTCTTGCATGTTTGCTTGAAAAAACATACATTGGCACACACATGCCTGTTTCCAAACATTACCATTTTTTGAAGTAAGGTGCAAGATCGCTTGTGAAGATGTGTTGATTGTTTACGTTGTTCGAAAGCTTGAGCGCGGAGTAAACAATAACTATGTACGTTCCAACCAAAACTATTGCCAAACATCTTAAATGTCAATATGCGTATGGTAAATTGTCAGCCAAAACGTCACTCAGAAAGCATCAAAGGTAGTTGTTAAAAAACGCCAGACTTTGCGCAATGCGTTCACATTCATAACTGTTGCAAGTTCTGCTTGCAGGAGAGACGGGTTCGTGGGACAGTGCAATATCAATCTTTTTAGGTACGTTTTTCTTCTAATTCGGCAATGCGTCGAGCTTTGTCAAGGTTGTATGTGTATTAAGGTTGCGTGGCCAACTTTCAATAGCATTTCAGCCCTTTAGCCCTTTGCTGCAATAAGTGTAGGACAGTGTAGGATTTGGATATTTCTGCAACCATGATGGGTTTTGTGTTGTAGATAGAACTTTGCAAGGCGTCAGTGAAATAATGCGACCACGTAATTTGGGATTCCACCATCTTGAAATCTGGCAGCGGGCCATGACGAATTATCGAGCGTGGGATTCCAAGGCTAACTGCGTATCAGGTTATTTGTCCTCGGTTTGCGTCTGGTATTGATTTTCCAGGCAGATGCGCTTTGCCGCCAGGCTGATGAGCAGGAGCGCGCAGCATGCATTATGTTTCTCATTGTGATTGAATCGGGTGTTCCATGACTTGCAGAGGACAAGAAGGAAGAGGCTGCCAGCAACCAGGCTCCGAAGTACACTTGCGCACTATTCCGGGGCGCAGTGCTCGTGCTGCCAGAGGCGTGGAGAAAGCCCTTGTTGCAGGCTCTCGGACTTGCTGATGGCCCAACCGGCCCTCCGACAGCGAAGGTGTGGCACTGAGACACCAAATGGACAAACTTTGTGAATGACGCAGTTCGCCAAGTCCGTTTAGTCACCTGCATACAGTCCTTCTACAATTTCATGCTTGTATCATGTTGTGTTGTACACACATGAAGGCCGAAAAAGAGATCGAAGAGCTCCAGGGGCATTCAAAGCGCCGAGAGGATTTCATTGTTTCAGCCCCAGCACAGTGAGCAATTTGTTGTTCATGAGTGTCGTCGGAATGCACTTTGAGTCTGTAAGATCTCAACGAGGCATGGAGCCAAAGCCGCGAAGTGTCAGTTTCGCACACAGACGTGTTTGGTCAGGCCCGCATGAATGTTGTTTGAGCAAGAATGGAAGTGACATTCTACTTCAAGCGTTGCAGTCTCTACTCTGTCAGGGCATGTCAATGGCAGTTTTGTGGACATGCTTAACATGATGTTTTTTGCATTGGAGTTGGAGATTCCAGATTCCAGCTCTGTCTTGTGCGCTTTCTTTCCAGCCCAGCTACGTCAGCGCGCAAGTTGCCAATGCAGGTGCAGTTGTCGGCCGCAGAGTACAAAGGGAAGGCTGGTCAAAAGTTGTGGAAGGTTGTCGCAACAATATCTGCCAGCAGCACTGATCAAATCTGTGGCAACAGTCAAACCGCGGCTTTAATGCTGAATTTTGGTTCTCTCGCTTATGCATTTTGATTTTGTTCCGGGCAGTTGGAGGCAGTCCGCATCAAGAACAGCACTGGCCATTCCCTGAGAAGACTATGGAAGCAAAATTGGGTGCAGTCTGCATCAAGAACAGCACTGGCTGTTTTTTGGCAGGATTGTCGTTGTGGACCTGGTGGCCAGGAGCGAACATAATATTTGTAGCTCGATTGTTCGCGTTGTCTCGTCCAAAGTGCTTGTTCAAACACGCAGAGCTAAGTTCCTAATCAGGATTGCCTTTTGGCTTTGTAACCCTCCCGTAATTGAAATCTGCAACAAACTCGGTATCAAGGGATCACGTTGGTGAAAACATGGTTTTGAGGTTGTCATGGCGCTGCAATGGTTCCTTTGCCTTTGATGCACGCTCGAGTTTTTGAGGTGTTTGACAAATCTTCTTATACTTCACATGGTTTTGACCACAAGCTTGCAAGGCAGACGCCCTCCACAGTTGTCCAGACGGTCAAACCGGCCAAGGCATTGCACATCCAAAATTGCCTGAACGTCAGCTGCAAAATTTGCAACAACCAGGAATTTTTACATCGATTTCGCGGTCCGCCTTTGCATGTCTTTCATAGCCAGGCGTATTGCCTTGCTCTTGCTATGCTGCTACTGCGAAAGCTTGCTCCTTGACCTCTGGCAATAGCTGTCATTGACAATCGTTTGCGTCATTTGATCACACGAGCCAGCGCGCGTGGGCCACTGTTTCTTATGCACTGATAGCTTGCAACGCCACCGAAGCTTGCATTTTTTGAGCCTAGATGGAGCTACTGCATGCCTACGCTGGAATTTCATTCCAATCTTTCCACCTGCAGTGTATTTTTTCACCAGGATCGGAATAGTCGAAAACTGGCAGCTCCCCGCACACTGCCCTGGGGTTGAGGAGTAACAATTGATATGAAGACAGGCTGAGAGTTTGCCATGTCTTTTCACGTGACAGCGTCCATTGTCAGCTCCTCAATATTTGCAGAGCCAGTGGAGGATCGGGGTTGGGCGTCGGGGCAGGTGTCAAGCTGACAAAGATGACAATTGCATGTTCTCCATGTTCAAGTCAACTATTTAGATGCGGTCCGCAATTTCAGCGGAGATGTTGCACCCTCAGTAGTTGCACGTTCCGCCCTATCGAACTGAAAACAGGGCAATTCGCCGTTTTGACTCCAACTGATCAGTGCACATTCCCATCTCAGTTTTGCCGCGTGTATTGCTGGTTTACTGCAAACTAGATTGAGCTAGCAGATGCTTTCTAGCAGGAACTCGTTTTTTTTGCCGTTTGGTCTTTTTTGTTGTTGGGACCCTTAAAGACGAGCCAGGCAGACCGGTAAGTGAGCGAACTCCCGTCCCCCGCCCAAACAGCAAAGAAATAAGCATGCTCCCCGCCCAAACAGCAACAAAAACAAATATGCCCCCCACCCAAATAGGACAAACAGTAAACACGCCCGCCCAAACAGAAAAAAAGACACGACCCCCCGCCCAAACAGCAAAAACAAACGACACCAAACAGAAAAAACAGCAACGCCATCTCCCCGGCCCGCCCAAAC